CTTCCCGTCTCCCAAATTATTGGCTTCAAATATTTATGAAAACCTATTTTTTTTATTTAATTAAATTTGTTTTGGTTGTGGGGCCACATCTGGCCCCCAAAAAGCTCAGGCCTGGGGCTGGAGTGATAGCACAGCAGGTAGGGCGTTTGCCTTGCATGCGGCCGACCGGATTCCATTCCCAGCATCCCATATGGTCCCCTAAGCACCACCAGGAATGATTCCTGAGTGCAGAGCCAGGAGTAACCTCTGAGCATTGCCAGGTGTGACCCAACAAGAAAAAAGAGAAAAAAAAAAAAAACTTCAGGCCTTACTTCTGACTCTGTGCTTAAGGGATCTCTCCTGATAGTGCACAGGGGACTGCTCAGGGGATCATACAGGGTGCCAGAGATCTAACTGGGTCATCTGCACATAAAACAACCACTTTACCCACTGTACTGTTGCTCCAGTCCTATAATAAGCAGAAAATAAGAATAATAGGGGACTAGAATGATAGTACTTGGGGCATAGTACAATGAGGGCACTTGCCTTGGCACTTGGCCGTTCTAAGTTCAGTCTGTGGGTTAAAGGGGTGATCTCTGAGTGCAGAGCCAGGAGTTTTAAGCCTTGAGCACCACTGGGTGTGGTCTCTCCTGACACCCCCCCCCCAAAAAAAAGAAAACCCTAAAGAAAGAAAAGACAAGCTAAATTCTCTAATTGTAATATAGTTTTGAATTGTTTGTTTGTTTGTTTGTTTGGGGGCCATACCTGGCAATGCTCAGGATAGATTCTGGCTCTGCACTCAGGAATTACTCTGGGATTACTCTGGCTGTTCTCTGGGATCTCTTTTTTTTTTTTTTTTTTTGCTTTTTGGGTCACATCCGGTGATGCACAGGGGTTACTTCTGGCTCATGCACTTAGGAATTACTCCTGGCGGTGCTTGGCGGTGCTCTCAGGGGACCATGGGATGCTGGGAATTGAACCCGGGTCGGCCCCATGCAAATGCCTTACCTACTGTGCTATCACTCCAGCCCCCGATAGTTTTTTTTTTCTTCCTGGGGATCTTAAGGGATGCTGAGGATCGAATCTGGGTTGACTGCATGCAAGACAAGCACCTTACCCAATGTACTATCTCTCCAGCTCCTTTGACTTAACTTGATTTTAAAATGTCCAAACATATTTTTTTAATGCAAAATTGAAAACCTATATACCTATTACTTATATTCAAGTTCTAATTATAATTTTTTTAATTATAATTTTATTATGCTTGGTTTCAGAATCTTGATTGGAGTTGGCTAGCAGAATGACTGGCCACTTTGCTCACTGTCCCCACGCCTCTGAAGTCGTTGCTGCATGTCTTGGAAGTTTTTCCCTCATGAAACAGTGTTCAGACTTATCAGTGGAAAAGCTAGCTGTGTTACGGCAGTATGATTTTACAAACACAGTATTTCAACTTGGGTAATTTTAACCCTTGAATAGTTAGAACTTTGTGAGAAGTCAGCAGACTTGTTTTAGTACTACGTACAGCTAGTTAAGAACATCATTGCAATCCATGTGTCTTCAAATTTGGTAAAACAAACTGACTAAAAATCCTGTTTAATGTGTAACTCTTGAGCATAAGGCTATAAGCAAAACATTCAGAGAAGGCTTCAACTACTGTGTATTTTAAGTACAAACTGTGTTTCTCCAGAAGAGACTGCTCACAAGTAAAATTTATACTTCTTGAAGAATAAATGCTACCTCCTTGTGTAGCCCAGTGCTCTTCCTGGCATCATAAGGAGTGAACATAATCCTAGTTTGTTTTACTTCAGATTGTGTCCCTTTCCCGGGGTTGTTTCTGTGCATTTAATTCCAGTTGCCCCACATGAATCTTGATGAATGTACTATGTGTATATGTATTTAAGATGTACATTTAATAATATCAAAGTGAAGATGCCTGTTAACTTATAATGTATTTTGAACACTTTTTTTTTCATTTGTAAAAATGGTTCATTTAAGTAATCTTCCATGTCTTGTCACACAAATTTATAAAAGTCTGCACTCCCTTATCTCTTATTTTAAAATCCAAAAAGTTCTGAAAGCAAGGTTTTCACGTGAGCTTGGTAACAAATTTCATGTATTGCAAATCTGATTTGAACCAACGTGGAATCTGTTTATCCCAGTTGTGTGAATACTCAATGTATTTTGCTGCGTAATTATTACCGTGTTTGATTATAGGGACTAATCTGTGACAGACCTTGCTGGGAGTTGCATCATAGGGTATATGCACTAAACTGTCTTTTTGAAAGTTGAAATGGAAACATCTGACCCTGCAAGTTTCAGATAAAGGATTGTGGAGCGCTCTGATTTGTAATTTAGAAGGTGTTATTTTTTTTAAAAAAATGTGAAATGCTTTTGTATTCTAGACAGTTTTTCACTTTGTATAGTAAATGATTTTGAAATTATTTTTTGGATCTGTATTTATTTTTAAAAAATCAAAGTATATTAGAGGAGTTGAGTATAGTTTGGAAAAAAGTGAAAGTTCCATGAAGTAAACTTGAAGAACAGAATAACATACTGGGGTCTCTATACATAGGAATTAAACATTACTTACAGTAAAGGCAGTATTGGCAGTTTCTTTAAAATAATAGTCTTTTTCTCTTGAGATGTATGATACCAGTATCCCCATCTACAAACCATACTTTTTATATCGAGCTCTGTAAACTGATGTCGAAAATCACATTTTCCCCTATTTTATATTGTGATTGAGCTGAAAGAACACTGTCCCCAGTTTTGCTAGTAGTGTTATTTCCCTGTCATCCAAATTTGAAATCGTGGTGTTGTCCTCCAACTTTTTAGTCTCCAGTACTGTTTCTTGAAAAATGAAAATGCTTCTTGTCAGCTGTTATTATAGGTAATCTGTCTCTTGCTTCTATAGTCTAAAAGGCTTTAATCTGGTTTCCTTATTTGACAGCCTCCTTTTCAGGAAAACAAACACCTGCTCAGACCCCCATCTCCCATCTGTCTTTAAGCAAATGGAAAGTGTCCCTCTCTTAATTGTACCAGTTTCCTTCAGTGTCCCCTCACAGATGGTAAGATCAGAAACACTGCCAGTGTAAGAATGTTCACCTGGAAATCTGAATGTCACAAGCCATGCAGGCTTTGGAATTAATTAGCATTAAAAGATGTTAATTTATTGGATAAAGGAATTCTAAAATTATGATACATCTTCTAAATATCACAGTAAACTGATAAAAGATAAGTTACACAGAGGAGCTTTATTTTTGTTTGTTTTGTTTTGTTTGCTTCTGGGCTACAGGGGCTACTCCTGGCTCTACTTTCTTAGGAATGACTCCTGATGGTGCTTGGAGGATCATACGGGATTCCAGAGGTCAAACCTGGATCCGTGCAAGGAAGTCCCTGACCTGCTGTACTATTGCGCAAAGAGGAGCTATTTTTATGGTAGCTGGAATGTTATCAGCTGATTGATATAATATGCCAAACACAGTAACAACAAAGTCTCCAATGGAGCCGTTACTGGGCCCGTTTGAGCAAATCGATGAACAACGGGAGGACAGTGACAGTGACAGTGATATAATATGGGATATGGTCAGGTGATGTGAGTTAGATATTATTAAATGAGGTGTTTGAAATTTGCTTTTTTTTTTTCTTTTTGGGTCACACCCTGCGATGCACAGGGGTCACTCCTGGCTCTGCACTCAGGAATTACTCCGGTGCTCGGGGGACCATAATGGATGCTGGGAATCAAACCTGGGTCGGCAGCGTGCAAGGCAAACAAACGCCCTACCTGCTCTGCTATAGCTCCAGCCCCTGAAATCTGCTTTCGATACATGAGTTGCCTCTATATTTTATTGGATGATTCAAAACCTGAATGGCAGATGCAAATTATATACTTGCATTTTCTTCAAACAATATTATGAAAATCTAAGAATTTTAGAAAATAGGCTGGAACAAGATCTATATGTGTGTATATATATATGTACATATATTTTGTTGGTTTTGCTTTTTTTTGTAAAATAGCTAAGCTTTGCGATTATTTACCTGGAATGGACAAGGTCTCAAACATTGTTAGGTAGTGAACATCGAATGATACATTATCATTCATTTAGTAAGAATTTATTAGAGTGGGTAGAGCGGCCAAGGAAAGTTTACGGAATGAAGATTTGAATAGATTCTGTTTATCCCTTCCTATTCCCACGGCTTCTAGCAATATATCTAGCCAGGCTGATGCCCAAACTCCTGCTTGCAGATTCACGGGCCAGACACTGCTTTTCCAAGATTCCAAAGGGGGATAGGGCACTCAAAAGCTCCTTTCCTCCCATCTCACCACTAATCTAGTCTTTTCAACTTTTGTATCATTGGTGTCTAATGGACTCAGGCGTGCTGCCTTTCTTTCCCTTGAATCCACTCTGTTTTTCAGTTTCCTCTTTGACTCTGCCTTTTGGTAATATGTGCACATGAATGAAAATTTAAAAAACAAGAAAAAAACACACGACGATTTCCTCTTCTTTTCCTTCACCCACCACACACACGTGTTCACGTTCTCTTACTTCCACAAACTTCATTTGATTCTGGCGCATAAAAGGTGCTGCGCTAAATGACAGATCCAACACCATCTGCACTGCGCCGCCCTCCGCAGCAAGGCGTGTGGCTCCCAGCCGCGGCCGCGTCCGCTTCTCCAAGCACGTGCTCGCCCTACGGCCGAACAAACTCCACCCCCACCACCCGGGGAGTGGGGCAGAGGGTTCCCGGTCGGAGAGGCTCTTTCCTGCCCCCTGCATGTGGGTTTATAGCCCGCGAGGCCTCCTGGTCTTCTCGGGAGCCGCGAGCCCGCCGTGGGTGTATGTGTGGTGGGGTGGGGGGTGGAGGAGGCGGTCCGAGAGGAGCCCGCCGCGCTGCCCCGCGGAGCAGTGCGCAGCCGGCCGGCCGGGAGAACTTTGTCCCGCCGGCTCGCCGTCCCGCGGGCGAGCGGCGCGGCGCCGTGCGTGTGCGCGCGCAGCCGCAGTGCCGGGCGAGGGGGCGGGGCCGGCGGCGGCGGCGGTTGGCGCGGCCCGGGGAGGCGGCTGCACGTGCGGGCGGGGGCGATGCGTCACTGATCGGTGAGGCGCGGCCCGCGGGGGTCGGCGTGCGCCCCTCGCTCGCGGCCGCCCCCCTCCCCGAGCCCGGTAGTGCCTTCCGGGGGGCGGGGGGTCCCGGCGAGAGGAAGAGGGGGGCGCGGAAGGAGAGGAGCCGGGGCCCGCGGAGGGTGGGCGCCCCGGCGGGGATGGGCGGGGGCGGGGCCTGGGGCTGAGCGGGCCGGGGGCCCTGTCGTCGTCCCCCCTGCAGGAGGAGCGAGGATGAACATGACGCAGGCGCGGGTGCTGGTGGCCGCGGCGGTGGGGCTGGTGGCGGTCCTCCTGTACGCCTCCATCCACAAGATCGACGAAGGGCACCTGGCGGTGTACTACAGGTGAGGGCCGCGTCCCCGGGGCGTCGGGGCCGTCGGTCTCGGGGAGCCCCGCCCGGCACCCCTGCAGGGGTGTGTGCGCCGGGTCCGACCGCCCCCTCCCCCCGACTCGCCTGCCTGCCTACCTGCTGGAGCCTGGCGGGCGGGCGGCACCCACCCCCGCACCTGTTCCCGGGGACCCTGTCCCGGGGATGCCTGCCGAGGGTCCCTCCAGCCCTGCAGGGTTTGGCGTTTTGCAGCTCGCGCGGGGGCTCGTGGCAGGGGGGTGATGTCCATTGGGTTTCCTTGAAGAATAACCGCCCCCACCCCCTAGGTTTTGCTCCTGCTCGTTTGAGGGCCTGGTGGCCCGCACAGCTGCCACAGCCCGGGGTCTCCAGGGACGGGCACTCCCGCCCCCTGCCCCCTGCCTTGCTCATTTTCCTGTCTGGGAAACACGTGGTGTGGAAATGTGAGGCCCCCACTCATTTAGCCCGAATCCTCCTTCCTGCAGCCTGATCGTCGCTGGTTCCTTTTTAACACATACTAGGGGAACTTGGTGGGGGGTGGGGGGGGTGGGGGAGGAATTGGGCATGTGCTAGTGGTGTTTTTGAAGGAGTTTCGACTTTTTCCCCGTTTGCACTGTTGCCCAAACCGATTGCTACTTTTTTTTTTTAATTTAAAGTTGGCATTCACTTCTTACGTAGAAGACTCCTCTGCTGTGCTGTTTTATTATTTAATTCGTGTGGGGGCAGCATCCTTTGCTGCCCGGGTGGGGGAGGGTGGGTTAACTTCCTGGCTTTCTGCTCTGGGTGCCTTGGTAATCCTCCCCCCTCCCCCCCATTTCCCATCTCCAGCCCTGATGCGTGTAGTTTTAGTGCCATCTGACAGCAGATTAATATCTAGCATAAAAAGATGGCAAGTTTGTCCATATGACTCAAGATCAAGGAGAAAACATTTAAAGGCAGCCCTCCAAAAATTCGGGGTGAACCTTCGAACTTCATCTTTTCTTATTATGAACTCTTTCTACAGTATATTTCAAGATAGGAAACTATGTCCTAGATCATTATTTTGTCCCCCAAATGCCTCCTTTTTTTAAAAAAAAAAAGAATCTTTTCAGTTTGTGTTCTAACATTCCAGAACTTGGTAAGCAAGACCTGACTTAGATCCTTCCTGTACTCCCTGTCTTTCCCCAGTTATTTTTATTTATTTTTTCAGAGACGTTTGGACCTCATTTTAGTTTGCCTTGTAGGTACACTAACAAATGCATAAAGCTGCATGTGGCTCACATGTAGCGAAGACATGCATGCCTTACATGGCATGAGGCTCAGGGTTTGTCCCAGCTGGTATAGGCCACCCTCCAGCATCCCCGGAGGGGAGCCCCAACAACCGTATAAATGAAAACTTAAAAGAATCTTGAGCGTTGGAAATCTCCTTGACATGTGTTACCTTTTTCAGCATAGAAGTTAAGCGTATTGTTATTTATTTCATCATAGAAGTGTACTGTTATTATTGGAGGGAGTTGGGATGGAAGGTTTGAGTCATACCCAGATTGCTCAAGACTTAACTCCTCGCTCTGTGCTCAGGGATCACTGCTGACAGTGCCCAGTACCACAGGTGGTGGCTCGGGGAAATCTGTCTGGGGTTGTGCAAGGCACGCACCTTAACCCCTACGCACTGTCACTCTGGCCTTTGATTGGACTGTGTTGTATATAGTTAAAGTATAATATCCCAGAGCCATGAGAGTTTCCCCCCCCCCCCCCCCACATGTTTTTCTCAGAAGGCTAAAGTCGAAGTAGACCCTTCTAGTCTGTGCTGTGCTGGAGACGCAGACACATGGTTGGTAGCGCTTATGAAACAAGGTGTAACATTAGCCGTCCGATGTGTTCTCTTCACCTTTTGAGGTGTGACAGATATTTCAGTGAGCAGCCGCTCATCAGTAACTCACACCTGTGAGGCTTTAGTAGGTCAGCAGCATATTTATGTGGTGTTTGAAGCTGTGGAAAGACAATGTCTCCTTATAAGTCTTGTCAAATTGAAACATCTTTTTGCAGGGGAGGAGCTTTACTAACTAGCCCCAGTGGACCCGGCTATCATATCATGTTGCCTTTCATTACTACGTTCAGATCTGTGCAGGTGAGTGATCGCTGAAGGAGAGCCACACCAGACAGACAGGTGTGACGGGAGCAGTCACCACGCTCGTGGGTGGGGTGGATTTTCTTGTTACTTGTGCAAGTGGTAGGATTACTTCAGTGCAAAAACTGAAGTTCAGAGTACAGTGGTCACAGCCCACATTAGGATTGAGCCACCTCATTCTTCCTGACAAGGAGTGCCAGTATCACATGGCCTGGAGGGACTGACTTCCTCCAGGTACTAGTGGCAGGCTTCCGGTTGCTGCTCCAGATCTGACAGCAGGACTTTGGAGTCCAACTGGAAATGCAAACTGGTGATTACTTGGTTTAAACGTGTTTGGTTTCCATAGAGGCAACCACCCGGGCTACTGTTCACAAGGAGGCTGAATTTTCAGACGTGACTTTGTTGCTTCACATTTTTGCACCGAGCACACTTGCATGTGGAATCCGTGAAGGTTCAATTTTAACAGCCTCCCAGATAATTTGAAATAAGCAGCTGTTCATTGAGAACAGTGTTCTTGGCCCTGGGAGATTATTAGTAAATATATTTTGACATAACAAAATGGCAAACAATTCAGATTGTGACTTTTTGAAAGGGTGGGAGGTAGGAAGTCAGTATGGGATTGAACCCAGGGCCTTGTGCGTATAAAGCCTGTGCTTCCCCACTCAGCAACATTCTTGGCCTCGAGATTGTGACTCTGTTTTCATGGTTTTTTCTTTTTCATGATTTGGGGTCTGGAGTTTGACTACATTCTCTTGTTAATTTTTACTTATTTTTTTGTTTTGGGCCCACACCCGGCAGTGCTCAGTGCTCAGCTCCTGGCTCGAGGCTATTTCTCCAAACCAGGGAGAATAGTCTTTATATTTACACGGGAATATGGACTTTATTTTAAATTGACATGGAGTATTAAAATTGAATTTCATTCACATTTTTTAAGGAAATGTATTTAATTCATCAAACACTTCGCTAACATGTTATTAATGCTCACTATTATTACCCTAATTTCTCAACTCTAGAGTTTCTTTGTTTTTTGTTTTTGGCCTTTTTGAATCACACCCGGCAATCCTCAGGGGTTACTCCTGGCTCTACACTTGGGAATTACTCCTGACAGTGCTCGGGGGACCATATGGGATGCTGGGATTCGAACCTGGGTCGGCCGTATGCAAGGCAAACGCCCTACCCACTGTGCTATCGCTCCAGCCCCAACTCTAGATTTAGAGTCTTTTTTTTTCTTCTCCTTTTTCAGTTCTAATCCTGTATTGTCAGCTTTCAGTTCCCACTGCTTTTACTGAATTAGCCTAAATAACTCAGTCCTTCAGCTTCCCGGCTGATTTTCTTGTCTCCAGATATGGGGAGTTAATGAGACTGTCGTCACACGAGCAAAGGTGCTGAGAACGAACTTGGTTTTGAAAGCCTCATTTTGTGCTTGCATGTGAGATAGAGCAGTGCGAGCCCAGGCTCTTCATGGACATCCAGGGCCCTTTGCCTTGTATCACCATATTCTCTAGATTTCTCCTCCAATCTGCATCACCTCTTCTCCAGGTAGACTGCTTTCTGTCACGTATACCCGTATGGTTCACGCATAGTGATGGCTGAAGGTCATACTTAGTGAAGTCAGTCCGCCTGTTTCTCAGCCTCATCTGTTTTCCCTGTAAACCTGACTTAGAAATATTTCACCTTAGAGGGTTTTTTTCAAAACTAGTTTCTGCTTTTTATTTTGTACATGAAGCAGATTACTTTATAAGGGCTTTTTTTTCTCTCTCCTTTTTGAGTCACACGCAGCGATGCACAGAGGTTACTTCTGGCTCGTGCACTCAGGAATTACTCCTGGCGGTGCTCGGGGGACCATAGGGGATGCTGGGAATCGAACCCGGGTCAGCCACGTGCAAGGCAAATGCCCTACCCACTGTGTATTGCTCCGCCCCTGTAAGGGCTTTTTACCTGTGTTGGATTGCTAGTTCTTTAGCAGGAGGGATCAAGATTGCCTTTTCCCTTTTATACATCAGTTGTAGATACTTAAGTACAGCGTCCCAAGAATCCACCCCTTGAGAGCTCCTCTGGAGGCCTTAGAATGCAAGAGGGAATCATTCTGGATCCTGTAAAGGTGTGACAGGTGGGGTCATACAGTACCGATTATTGGTTCACTTAGAGGAATCAGGGCTGGTGGTTGTGAAAAAGGAAATTGAATGAAACATTTGAGAGATCGCTCGGACCTGAACTAAAATAATGATTATAGTTCTAGAGAAAAAGGGCTTCTGTTTTGTTAAGGAACCTTTGAGTTATAGTCTCCTTGTGTGTGTATATTGTAGTTATCTGTCTTTAGTGTAAACAGTAGTATTAGCAGTGGAATCAAAGGTCAGAGCAGGAGTTAGTAGCAGTTGTATCTTTTTGGATAACTCATGTAGTTTGCAATCCCAGGCCCATTCTAGACAAAGGACTGAGAAATTGAACTTTGACGTTTGCAGGTTAAACATTGAAATTTTGCTAATGCCCCGTGTTTCAAACATTAGCTATGATGTATTTTGTTTCAAGTCTGTTGTTTGTACTGCAAGACAGAAGAAATAAAAAAGATTCCTCTGATGGCTAGTAGAGCTCTCTTGAGTTTACCTCCAACAATTCTCTAGAGGTTTTCCTTGGGGACCATGGCTTGGGCAGTATGTGTCCTGAGTATTGATGAAATGTTTCTCCCTCCCCAGACAACGTTGCAAACTGATGAAGTGAAAAATGTGCCTTGTGGAACAAGGTAAGCTGTTCTCTGGCTTGCCGTATTCCCTTCCGTTTTGGTGGAATTTCTGTTCATAAAACTTCTGGTCACTTCTTTCAAATAGGCATGAAATTAAAGGGGGGGCGGGGGAGGTCGTCCTCAGTTATAAATCAAGCAAAGGCCTGCATCTAAATAGATTTTTCATTTTGGGGAGCCTTTAGTTTGTTATGGAGGGGAAAAGTGATTTTCAGAGACAACAGCCATGCTTCATTGACTTTCTTTTTTTTTTCGAGGGGTTGTGAGTGGTGGGGAGACTTAATTTTCACGTTAGCTAAGTTGAACAGAAAGTATGGAGATTTTTCCTTGTGTCTTACCCCCCCCAACACCTGCCCTTACTGACTTTTAAAATAAACTAAGTTTATTTGTAAAAATTCTAGTAGTAAAAACTACCTCACATAATCATTGTAAAAACTAGACTTACTGCATATAAAATACCTAATTCAGCACTTACCCTTGAGACAGTGTACTCAATACAAGATAGTTTAAAATGAAATTAACCGACCACCTTCTTAGCGGTAATGTGAGTGTCATCTGACTGAGTTTCTGGTGCAGTCTGAAATGAGGATGGAGAATTTGCATTTCTAGCATAAATTCCCATGTTCATTTAAGGACCTCACCTTGAAAATTGATGCCCTAAAGGGATGTGGGGAGAGAAAGGAAAGAGCCAGGTTAATTCTAGAATATAATCAGTGCACTGAGATGGACCAGAACAGCAGTGTAAAAGTTCAAGGTATTTCTTTCTAATTGCTCTGTTTTAAATGGCTAAAATAGCACCGTTATGTGCTTATAAAAGAGACTTTGCCATTTTGGAAGGACAGAAATACATAAAACTGAGCCAAGAACATAGCTCAGTCATAGAGTGTATACCTCATATGTGTCCTGGGTTTAATTCCTGGTAACCCGCCACAAATATTTTTAAACATGAGAGAAACTTTTTTGAGTTATAAAATATTTGAATATCAAGTTTTTCCTAGCCCCTATCTAAAACTCTGATGGATGGGTTGTTTTTAAAGATGACTCAAAAGGTGAGATTTTGGGAAAAATTGATTGTCATCTTCATGCTTTCCAATAAAACCTGTTTCTCACATCACTTTGAATAAGCAAGAGTTGTCTAAAGCCTTTTGTAAAATCAGAAAAAAAAAGTGTCTCATTGTAAATGGGTAGAAAGGCTTATTTGTTTGGTATCAAAATCTTTGATATCGTATATCTCAAGTTGAAGTTCACAAGTCCCTTAGGTAAGTTTTGGCAGGCCAGGATGTGTAGGAAGCCATTAGTAAAACCTGTCTTTCTGGAGTTTCCACTTCCCTTGAATATTTTAGGAGGAAATTATTCCTTTTGTATTAGTATAAGTACAGATAAAGTATAGGTTAACAAGCAAGCCTGTGATTGGCTGCCTCCATACTTAAACTTCTTGGAGAATCTTTTTACTTTGTTCTTTGATGGAAGACTTTGGGAAGAACACTGCCTTAAGTATTGGCCCTGGGTGATTAGATCGAAGTGCTCAGAAGCTCTGGTTCATCAATTAGTCTTCCTGTGAGCCCTTGATTCCAGCAGTTACAGAAGTGAGCCTTTGGTAACAAATGATATCAGTCAATATGTGTGGAATCACTTAATTGCAGATAACTTTAGATTTTCCTTATAAATTTTTCCTTATAAATTTCTATCATGCAGGATATGGTTAGTCATGTGGGATTACTTTGATACAGTAGATTTTCATCTAGCTAATTCTTTTCCCATCTCTTTGTTTTCAGTGGTGGGGTTATGATCTATATCGACAGAATAGAAGTGGTCAATATGTTGGCTCCTTATGCAGGTTTGGTGCTCATCTCTTCCATTGTTTTTATAGTTGCAATCGTTGTATTTGAAACTGAGAGAGTTCTTGGAAGTAGGAAGGTACTCTGTGTGTGTGTGTGTGTGTGTGTGTGTGTGTGTGTGTGGTGCTGGGTGTTAAACCTAGGGCCTCACATCATGGCAGATGACCTATTGTCAACTGAATGGAGGCAGAAAATATGTCCCAGTTCTGAAGAATTGACTTTCTGTCACTGTATAGTTACTCTTCTCTGAATCAAATGTTTGTAAAAACAAGATGCATATTGATTATTCCCAGAATGGAAAAGTAAATTAGCGTTTTCTTCAGTGATGAGAGATAATTTTATAGTGTGATAGAATCTGTAACCGGTAATTCCTTGGACTGATACCATATCCCAAAATTTCCCTTTCATTATTTCGGGGATGGGAGTGCTCTCCTAGCAGTATTCTGGAACCTGGGACTAGTCCCTGCATGCTCGTGCCCAATGGTGCCCAGGGCAACAGCTGGCAGTAATGGGAGATGGAGTGTGTTGGCATGTAGTGCTGGGGCAGTGGTGGGATGAACATGTGCCAGGGATCAAATCCAGGGCCTTACATAGGTCTTCTTCCACAGGGGCCATATTCCTAGTCTCAGATATTCTTGCTTAAAGCTGACTGATACTCAGTTATGTGTCTGTTTATCTTTTCACACCTGTGCGTGCGCATGCGCACACACATTTAGCTGAATTAAAGCGTTTTTGGGTTAGTGTTGTATTAAACATGGATTGACTTGTACCTCCTTCAGTGTTTGATATTGTGAGGAACTACACAGCAGATTATGACAAGACCTTAATCTTCAATAAAATCCACCATGAACTGAACCAGTTTTGCAGTGCTCACACACTTCAAGAAGTTTACATTGAGTTATTTGGTAAGTGTTTGCTTTGTTGCGTTTTTTAAAATAAATTTAGGGGCTAGAGCGATAGCACAGCGGGTAGGGTGTTTGCCTTCCACCTGGCCGACCCAGGTTTGATTCCCAGCATCCTACGTGGTCCCCTGAGCATCGCCAGGAGTAATTCCTGAGTGCAGAACTAGGAGTGACCCCTGTGCATCGCCGGGTGTGACCCAGAAAGCAAAAAAATAAATAAATTTATACTAGAGCAGTTTTCTTTGAAATATTTTTCCCAAGATTTTACAGTGTTAAACTGATAGTTCCATGGACTTGATTTCTTTAAAATAATGGCTGTTTTCTAAAATGCATGGCATGATTTGGTAAAGATTGAGTAAGCTTCATTCTTCTGTCATTACTATATAATAGAACCTGTAAGAGATTTGAAGTCTGAGAGTGATTTTTTAGGAGGATTCACAGTCGATAGTTATGAACAACAATTTCAGCACAAGGAAAAAGCACTCGGTGAGGGTCTGAGCACTTCAGCGCAGGGCTGGGCATGTGACTCAGAGTAGGGCACTTGCTTGCGTGTACTTGTCTTACAGTAGAGCACTTGCCTTGCCCTAGTTTTGTCCCGAATACTGAAAAGAAAGATTCAGAACAAACCAATGGAAAAGTATTCTGAAGTGGTTGGGAGGGAGCTCCCTGGTGGTGCGCAGCAGACCCTTGGGCCCCACCAGTGTCTCTAGGCCAACCTGAGACCACTGGTTCAGTGCAAGGACCAAGGCTGCAATGCTGTACTAGGGAAAACCTGGGCCACCCAGTGGTGATGCTGCAGGGACCTCCGGGGTTGCTTTCAAAAACTCAGCAGGTTAAGATTCATGAAAATGAAATTTGGTCAGGGCAGGGAGAGGTCTGGGACCAGGTGCAGTGCCAGGAATTGAAGCAGGGCTGGTGACATACAACTCAATAGTCTAATAACCCTTGTACTATCTCTCCAGCCCAGTGAAAGTGTAATGTAGTCATCTGGAAACTAGGATAAAGATAGAAGATAGGAATTATTTTTAACAATAGGACTCATTAAGAACATTGAATTAAGGTATTCTCTAACACAGTATCTCTCTAGGGGTAATAGCTCAGTAGTAGAATGCATGCCTTGCATTGTATGACTGTGCCCTAGATTTGAACCTGACACCAAAAACAAATCTTTATTTTGCATGCAGATTTTAAAGCGCTAGATTCTACATTTACTAGATAAACTTAGACTAGTTGCTTGTTACCATCCTAATTTCTTTCTTAGGTAATTTTTCACACTCTGTATTTAAGTATATTTATGTATTTTTGCAGTGGCTTGAGCTCTATAAAACAACAGTTCTGTGGAAATTTTAGGTATAATAATGTTGATTGATATTAATAATGTCTATTAATGCATTTTCTAAGACATTTTTTGAGTGTCATAAAAGGTGTTGCTTTTGTTTAAAAACAGATCAAATAGATGAAAACCTCAAGCAAGCTCTGCAAAAGGACTTGAACACCATGGCCCCGGGCCTCACCATCCAGGTAAATGAGATATCCTAGGAACTTGTTCTTCGTTGAATTGATATCAGCGATTTTGTAGAGTGCTCTGGTGATTTATGTGATATCTTTATAACTAGATCTAGGTCAGAATTACTATGTACTCTTGTAGTTTACATTTTCTTGTGACTGTTTTCTTATGAAGTCTTAGAAGGAAAGAGGCTCTTAAAAGGAAAATAAATCTATCCTGCCAAAGGTGAGACAGTTTTAAGATACAGTAATGATCTTAGCAATCCTTTCTCTCAGTAAGATTTTGAAAAATGATATCAAGTATCAAAATTTTAGATAAAATAAATTTTAGTTTAAAAAAATCACAGACTAGCAGTTGAAAGATGAGTAGACTGAGTGCTGCCTTGAGAGTTGAGATTACGTTTCCAGGGTTTGCCTGAAGATGACTGATTGAGTTAGGATCCTAAGTAGGTCTGGTAGAACGAATAGGATTCAGGTAGATCTAGAAGTTTTTGTAGGATTTTGTAGGAGAAAGGAGAAAGGCATTTCCAGCAACAGATGGCCCGATTTAAGAAGCAGGCAGATAAAAATTAAGTGGTGGTCTTGGCAACAGTGATAATTCTTTGGGAGCTCAATAATTACTCGTGTCAGTAGATTCTAAAGTCAAACTTCATGGGTCACAACCAGCCAGCATTTAAAGCGAAATGTAAGTATATCATTCTGCGAAATTGAAGTGTGTTTCGTGTAAGTGTGTGTAGGGTAGGAGTTTGTAAAATGTTTTTGTTGGTTTGGGGCCACACTCAGCAGTGCTGGGGAAGGCGGTCCTTTCAGGGGACAGTGTGGTGTTGTAGCCCGTTGAGCTCTCTTCGACCTAACATGCATTTTCTTTCCTGGCTCTCAGTTACCTGACTAGTCTGACTGCTCCAGTGCCCTTACTCAGAGTTTCTCGGAGACTGGTTGATGCTGTGATAAATGTCATCTGTGAAGCTAGAGTTTTCTTTGGTGTCGTGTGTCTCCAGTGCCAAAAGTCTCTTGTCCACTCGTGGGTGGTTGGAGCAGCATTCCATGCCCTCCCGCCCCCAGCAGTCTTGGAATTTTAAGGCTAATGGATGCAGACATCATAGATTCTTCCCATTTCATTAGTAGATGCAACTCCTTTTTCTTAACAGCTGCCTAGAATTCCTCGCTTTGTTATATAACAGTTTCTCTGATATTGCCGATATGGGGTGCTGTGGATCGAACCCAGGTTGACGACGTGCAAGGCGAACGACTTGCTTGCTGTACTCTCTGGCCCGATTTAAATAATTTTTTAACGTGTTAGTTACTACAGCTTTTTTTTTTAAATGCATTTCATGCATTCTATTTATTTTGGTATGTAATGTACACTTTTAGAAATTTTAGTATTCTATGGTATTTTTTTGTGCCAATATATTTTTTTGGGGGGGTGGGGGTCAGACCGGGCGATCCTCAGGGTCACTCCTGTTTCTGCACTCAGGAATTACTCCTGGCGGTGCTCAGGGGACCATATGGGATGCTGGGAATTGAACCCGGGTTGGCCGAGTATAAGGCAAACATCCTACCCACTCTGCTATCACTCCAGCCCCTGTGCCAGTATATTTTATGCTTTAAAGGTGTCGCCTCTCCACCAGTGCTGGGGCCCCGGAGAGCCACGCCTACTGGTGCTCTGGAGGCTCTGCACTGGGCATCTGCAAGTACACTCTGGCCCTTTCTGTTGTCTCCCTGGCCCAGGGCTAGCATGTTCGAAGAGCCTTCTACCAATACAGAATAGTATATAAGATCAGGAATCACAACATTTTCTCTAATTCCATTCTGTTTTAGATTAAACTCTTGTTTTTGTTTTGGGGTACTCTGCAATGCACAGGGCTACTTCCTGCCCCGCCCTATTCCCCAGCAGCGCTGGGTGTGCGGGGACAGCATTTCACCTTGGTGGGTCATGCAGTGCTTGGGAACCAGCCCTAGGTTAAAGTCTCTCATTCCTCTAGAATTCATGGTGAGACCACTTGTAGCGTAGGACTCCAATCTCCCCTTTGCCAGTTTGGTAGCATAGTAATTCAGGAATTATTTTGCTCTCATTTCTCCCTGCTTATTTGAAGTGACATTTGTATTTCATGCGAAATTAAGTAGAGGCTAGAGCCATAGTTGGGTGGCTCGTACCTTGCACACAGCCGATCTGAGTTTGATCCCTAGAATCCCAAATGATCCCCTGAAAACTGCCAGGAGTGATTCCTGAGTAGAGTCAGGAGTAATCCCTGAGCATCGCCAGAACCACCCCTCCACCTCCCACCCAATTCTCCAAAGGAGACTCGCCTCACTGGACTTCGTTCTTTGATCTTTCTGCTTCCTGTTTTTTCATTAGCTATCGGACTTTTGGGGTTATTTTTTATGCCCATCCCCCATCAAGTCTTCTCTCCTGCTTTTCCTTTCTTGGCAGTAAATGGCACTTTTTTCTCAGAGAACAGGGGACCATATGGGATGCTGGGAATTGAACCCGGTTTGGCCGAGTGTAAGGCAAACATCCTACCCACTCTGCTATCACTCCAGCCCCTGTGCCAGTATATTTAAGTATAAATATGTGAAGTGTGACTGAGTGGCATCTCAGACACCCTTTCATTTGGGGACAGGCGGGGGGAGGTCATGCCTGACAATCCTCAGGGGTTACTCCTGGTTCTGCACTCAGGAATTACCCCTGGCGGTGCTCAGGGGACCATATGGGATGCTGGGAATCGAACCCGGATCGGCTGTGTGCAAGGCAGACACCCTACCCACTGTGCTATCGCTCCAGCTCCAACACTTTCATTCTTAACTGCCTCATATCCCATTGATTGTACCACCAGAATCCATCTGAAACTGTCCGCACCTCTGTGTTCTTACGTCAGTCCACCTTCACTTACTGGGATTTCTGTCATAGTTTCATACCTTTTTACCCCCATTTCACTTTTACCCTTGTCTGCACCATTTTTCTGCAAATTAACAAGAAGGAGCTTTTACATTTAGATTATTCTCATAAAAATCGTTACTGACTTTGACTTTAAAAAAAAATTTTTTTAATCAATGCACTGTGATTTCCAAAATTATGCGTAGTTGAGTTTCAGGCATCCAGTTGTCCAGCACCAGTCCCACCACCAGGTCCCCGGCTTCCCGCCCACCCCCGAGCCTACCTCCTTGACCAGCGTGTATTTGTTTATACACTGTGGCTTTTAGTACTGTTCAAGGTAGCCTTTCGTTCGTGACGCATCCAGCACCGCTTCCTCCCCGTTGCCACTGGCCCCGAGTCACAGGCTGCCTGCTGAGGAGCCGTCCTTTAGCTGATCTTGGAGCTTTCAGGGTGGCATGTGGCTCGAGTGGCTGCCCTCAAACTGCAGGTCATCGCCCAGGGAATTTTTTTTTTTAATTTCACAGTTGCTTTGAAGCTGGCCGTTCAAGATTGCTATTATTTTGGTTGCTTTAGTCTTGTTATGAAACAGTTTCTTAAGGTAGTCAGAATGCATTTTAGAACAGAAAGTCTGATTTTTCAGAAAGTCTGATTTTTCAGTCTTCCTGTTTTTAACACATGACCATATGGCTATAATAATTCACTTTTTCATTCACTTTTAAAGTCTGGTAAGATTAATCATCTTTTTAAAAATAATGACCCTTGATGTTTCTGCCAGCTTGTTCTTTCAGATGAATTTTAATTTTTGATATTTTCATACTGTATTAAGTAGCTCAGTTGGCGTATGTTTTAAAATTAGAAGCAGTTTATGACTTTATTTCATGATTGTATCATCTTTTTAGAATAATTTTAGTATTTCTGACCTGAGGAAGAAGCTCATACCAAATGAAATTAATTTTCATGGATTTAGGAGGGTTTTGTGGTGTTTGTTTTGTGGTTTTTCCTGCCTGTTCTGATGGGTACTGAACCTAGGACCTCAAGCATGCAATGCAAGGGCTCTATTGCCAGCTTGATTGAGTTTCAGTGCTCTTCATTAACGTCTTTTTTCCTAGCATTAAGGACTGAATGTAATTCTTTAATGCTTAATGTATAGCTACAACTTTGTTGAACTCACTTATTCCAGAAAGGAGTTTTGTTAATTTCAGAGAGTGGGTGTATGGGTGTTTAAAAACATGAGATCTACCCTCTTTAACAGATGTTAAGATGTACAGTAAATTATTATTGACTGGTATGATGTTATACAACTAGAGTTTTTTCACCTTAAGACTGAAACTTTAGTGGCTGGAGCAATAGCACAGCGGGTAGGGCATTTGCTTTGCACACAGCCGGCCTGTGTTCAATTCCCAGCATCCCGTATGGTCCCCCGAGCACTGCCAGGAGTAATTCCTGAGTGCGTGAGCCAGGAGTAACCCTTGTGCATTGCCAGGTGTGACCCAAAAAGATGAAAGAAAAGAAAAGAAAAGAAAAAGACTGAAACTTTATTATGTCTTTAGGTTGAGTTACATCATTAGACCACTAGAAATCTTAATTTCTCCTTTCATAATGTTGTCTTCGCAACATCCTATTTTAAATTCTTTCCATACCTGAAATTCTTCTTCTTATTTACTTTGTATTTTCTGAGTTCTCCTTTTGAAATTTTAATTCCTGGAAAGCAGGATTACCTTGTTAATTTCTGTACTCAACAGTGCAAAGGACAGACAACACTTGTCACTGACTTAGATAACCAATCAAATATATTATTGAAGGAGGAGCTTTCTCTGTAGCATCAGAATTAGATTTCCCTCCTCAGTATTTATGCCCTTGTTTTTTTAGACTATAAAGAAACGTGGCTAGCTTTTTAATTTAAAAGCTGTCTGCTGGCCTTTCCCTCTGGATCATTATTAAAACATACTTATTGGTGGTCTTCAGTGTTTCTGGTTGTCTCTTGGTGAAATCTAGCCCCTCGATTTTTTCCCTTCCCTTCCCTATTCAGTTGTTGGAGTCACCAGAGGTCTTACACACCCTATTCATGGTGCTTGCCAGGGCTCACACACTTCACTTGTGGTGCTCACATGGTCCTGGCGGGGGTATTTGTGGTGCCATGGGTCAGGTAGCGCAGCCACTGGGACCACCCTTGGGGTAGTGGGTGGCATCAAGGGTCAGATTTGCAGCCTCCTGTCTACAGGGTCCAAGTGCTCTGCTACTGAACCTTGCTATGGAACACCCCAGGTTCTGGAATCTTACTTGTCTCTGTGAGTTACTCCCTATGGCCTTACCGTCTGCCTGTAATGAGTGTTTTCACCGCATTTTCCAGGTTTGTACTCAATTTTACTCTAATCCTTTGTAGATACGGAAGTTCTCAAAATTATCTACAGATTTGATTGTTCTCTTTCACATAGGGAAGCTTATGTTGCTTAAGGTTTTGAATGTCTGAAAGGCTTATTGCACAAAAATAGCCGTTTTTAAAAGGGAAGTTGCACTTATTTCACATCAGCAGTGTGTGTGTGTGTGTGTGTGTGTGGTGTGCATGGGAAATATTTAAGTAGTAAGATCAAAAGCTTTTAGAAAAACCTATTTTCAAAAACCAGTACTTTCCAAATGGATAATTATGTCAGAGTACTCTGAAGTTTGGGAAATGGAATATCTAGTACAAAAAGAATCAGATTTTGTTCTCAGTGCAGTTCTTGGAAGAAAGAATATGAGCTGTTAATTGGTATTTGTTCTCCAACCTCAGGACTATTTGTGGCTGTGACTGGGTGAGAATAGGGTTCATTACTAACTGTTCATTTGCTACCTGCTTTGTTAATAAGTCCATTGCTGATCTGGGCTTTTTGTTGTTTGTTGTTTTCACTGTTTCCTACTTTCTATCTTGGTATTTGTGCCCCTCCCCTCCACTTTCTTAAATGTGTCTTGGGTTTGCAGCTTTAATAAGGAAACAAAGGATGCAACTTTAGAGCTCTGTGAAAGGTCTTTGAAAGAAAACCCTTTTCCCTAGAGGGGTTTATTGGATTTATTTCCTCAGTGAAGAGAAATTTTTCCAGTAGAAAGGCTTCCTTTTTTATTTTTGAAGGAAATAAAAAGTAGTTTATCTTTGATTTTTGGTGTGATAGCACGAGGATTTTGTAGTGGAATCCCTACCTATCATAGGCAGCTGTCAGGATTATTTCATTAGTTTTGTTTGAGCTCTTCTGTAGAAGACTTGGTTTGAAATTTTATTTTTCAAATGTACTTTGGCTTTTTCACTTTTATTTTTTAGGCTGTGCGTGTTACAAAACCCAAAATCCCAGAAGCCATAAGAAGAAATTTTGAGTTAATGTGAGTAATATGCATGGGATCCCAATATTTTTATTTAGGGCTGTATATGTTAATATACCAGTCTAATGGAAACGTGTGAGACATTACACTCCAAACTGGGGTGTATGTCTCTATATTTTTATTCTAGTAATATTGTTGTGTCTTAATTGCCACGTAATTCCTGTTGGTTTTCTCGATATGTGAACATTTCAGGGGCAGTTGCAGTGACTTAAGGGTGTGGTTTGCTGTAGAACCATGAGTTGAAAGCCTACAGGAGCTCCTCTGTGAATGTTCTAGCTATTGAAGTTGAAAGAGAGCATCTAATTTTGTTAGCGTTGTAATAGTGAATATTAGATATCTTGTTGATGTTGGAGTTTGGTTCACCATCGTATGTGATTGTGTATTTAAAGTCAGACCTGAATCTCTAGTGTTTGCCTCTTGCCTTGCCTAAGTTGATTCCTGTTAATCTCATTTACGTGTCCAGGGCTGACTCAGAGTAGTTACTGGCTTGATTGAAATTTGTTTCTAAGAGTGTTAGAGGTTCTCTTTCAGGGGAATACTTAATTGTGATTAAAAAGGCAATATTATTTGAATATGTCAGGTGCTGAAAAGCAACAAAAGACTTTGGGAAATTTGGTATGTTCATAGGAAACATGGAATGCTGGAAAAATACCTCCGTAAAAGTCAAGATTTCAACATATATAATGGGGGAGGGGGCTTATGAAGAAATACTAGTACTTCTTTATGGAGTAATATCTTTAGACTCTTTTTGGGGGACGGGTGGGGGTGGGCAGGGGATCATACCAGGCAATTCTTGGGGTTCTCATGACTGCACTCAGGAGTCATTCCTGGTGGTGCTTGGGGTACCATATGGGATGCTGCGGATCAAACTTGGGTCAGGCCATGCAAGGCCAGCAACCTAACCAACTGTAATATCTCTCCAGTCCCTCAAATCCTTTTTGTTCCCAGTTTGGATCTTCTATTATACAAAGTTCTATTTTTTTCACTGAAGGAAAAAGCTTTTTTCTTGGGGGTGGGGTGATGTTCCACCTGGGGGAACTGGCAGGTACTGGCTCTGTGTTTGGGCTTGCTCCTGGATGTGATTCAGAAGTGCTTGTTAGAGGACTCTAAAGCATAGAGTGCCAGTTGGTAACTCATGAGTGTTATCATTTAAAAATAAAGGAAAGAAAAAGTAGAAGTTTTGAAAACTTCAGAATGACTTAACCTTTAAATATGGTAGTTTCTGGTGGTGGATAGGTGAATAGTGTGTATTCTTGTGCCCTTTATTAACTCATAGTATCCAGAATGGCATTGTATGTTTTTATCCTTATTGACTGGAGGAGAGGAAGAGCTTTTGTTGGTCGGGGAAGGGGAATTACTTGGCATTACCTTGCAGATAATTTTGAATCTTTCCTAATTAAAGAGTCCACCCAATCTAAACCACCCTCCAATAGGGTTTTTTTTTTAATCATTTCTGCCATGTAGTCACCCATCTAACACTTATTCGTGCTTAGTAATAAGTTAGTCATTTTCATTATTAGAAAGCTCATTCTTAGAAAAATTCTTGATGAGTCCAAGTTCATCACCTCATAACTTCTCTCTAGTTACATAAGTGAAGCCACTGCACCACAATGTCCACCTGAGGAGGTGCTGAGATCCATCTCCTTTCTGCTGCCCAAACCTCACACCCGAGGGCCTGGAGCTACCCAGAGCTGGGAGCCTTTTGTTATTAGCACAGTATTAGCACAAGAGCCTACCTGCCAGCAAAGGGAGCATTTATATTCTGAAAATAGTTTCAAATCAGGGACCTTTATGTGCCACAATGAGAGGAAATGGTCAAACTGAAATTCAGGTGTGACTTTCGGTGAGTTTGGTAAACCACCTAGCCTTTCTGCTTCGGGTTCATTGTAAGCAAAATTGGGTAAGAGCTCTCTTGATGAACCAGAAAATCTTTGTTGGTCCATTGTCCTAGTTGATGTTCATTAAGAATCACTTCTAATGTTTACAATACTTTGTTTGACAGGGAGGCTGAGAAGACAAAACTTCTTATAGCTGCACAGAAGCAAAAGGTTGTGGAGAAGGAAGCCGAGACAGAAAGGAAAAAGGCTGTTATAGGTACTTGAATTTCTTTCTGAAATGGATAGCTCTGTGTTTCAATTTTGATTCATTCTCTGTCAGTGTCATGTTGGATATTGATGGGGGAGAGGGCACAAAATAGATTGCATCATAGAGTATAAAGAATTCTAGAAACTCACTGGTATAGTCAGATATCCTGAAACCTTTCAAGTGTAGGTGAGGTGAGGGGGCCAGGAGCTGGCTCATGGCTTTTGAGGTCAGAGTTCAAACCCCAGTGCCAACACACGTGCCGAGGTGATCAGGAAAATCCCGCTGATCCATGGTGAGAAGGAACTCAAAAGGTTGTAAAGATAAGTACAACAGATAGTGTGTTTGCTTTGATTCCTGCACCTGAGCCATGCCAGGATGACCCCTGCGTGCAAAGCCAGGAGTAAGCCCCAAGCACAATCCAGTGTAGCCCTCCCCCCCCCAAAAAAAAGATGTATGTGACGGGGGCACTTAGTGTCAAGCACAAGGTCACATTTCAAATGCCACCGCCAGGGCTGGGAATGCAGCAGAGCAACAGAATACTTGCCTGTCGGCCATGGGACCCTGGACTTGGTCCACGGCGTAGTGGAGAAACAGAAACCACTCACGAGGCAGCTCCAACAGTCTTGCTGTTGGGGATCCCCAGTGAACAAGACACGGTGGCCTAGAAAGCACTCAAGAAAATGTGGGTCCTGAATAATGCCCCGATGCAACACCTGTGCCAGGTGATCCTGATTGCCCACTCCCAGCGCAGAGGGCTGGAGTGCATGTTTGGACTCAGGAGGCCCAGGTTTTTTCCCTGGCACTAAATGGTCTCATGAGCCCTGCAGGGAACAGCCTGGATCCCATTGGGTGTGTCCCCAACGCCAGGGCCAGGGCCAGAGAGTAGCTTAGGCTGCAGGCCTGGACTTCAGTCTCTGGTACCATATGCTGCCCAAGCACCAGTGGGTGTGGCCAGGCTGACCCCACGCATCACCAGGAGTGGTTCTGGACTCCTCAAACAGGAGGTCGCCCTTTGAAAAAAAATTTTAATTAAATTTTTACAAGTGAGTGGGACCAGTACTTAGTAAACTGCTTGACTCTCCCACCATGTCAGGCTGCCACTGTTGTTTTTCTGAGGGACGGGAAGTGTAACTGGGTCTGGGGGATGCTCTGTGCTCTGTGGAACTCAGTGCAATTAAACTTGGGGTTCCTACATGCATGATGTGGACTCAGCCCCTTAGACATTTCCTCAGTCTCCTGACCTAATTTTTTACCTTTCTTCAACTTGCTTCTGTTCAGATGTTGATGTACGTTTTTCCTGTTCGTATTTGTACATGCTTTTTAAAGGTTGTAATAATAAACAATTCATACACTTGTTTTAAAGTCAAACAATGATGTAGGACATGATTACTTCCACTACTTTTTCTTTTTTAACTAACACTGATTTATTCATACTAATATTAATGCATGAATAAAAAGGTAATTCATTTTTAACTGCTGTGTATTCCAGTCTAGAAGTGAGCCTCAGTCCACTCAGTGATGAAGTTAGGTAGTTTCTCATTTTTCTTTAGTACAAGTGGTGCTACAGAGAGACCCTTCTGTCTCTCTCTGGGTTCATACAAGAGTTTTCCTAGACAGAAGCCAGTCAAGATGTGCTGTGTTTAGTTGCTAGCCTTTTTAGAAGTTCCTGATCCACAGTGAAATTCAGAATGTTATTCTTTGATTTTGATTTTGTTTTTGTCTTTTGGTTTTGGCCACACCCAGCGGTGCTTGGGCTATTCCTGGGTCTGTGCTCAGGAGTGACTCCTGGTGGTGCTCAAGGGCCATATATGGTGCCCAGGATTTGCACTAGGACCAGCCACGTGTTAGGCAAACGCCTTATCTCCTGCACTATCTCTGACTCTGCTTAGAAGTTTCCTTTAGCAGTTTTATACAGGTGTCAGGTCTGTCTTGGGGGGGGTGCTCAGCAGTACTCAGGAAGCCTGGGGTCACTGCTGGCGATACTCAGCCTGTCAGCCCACATGGGCGATGCCGGGGGACAGTGCATGCAATGCCAGGGATCAAACTCAGGGCCTTGCCAGGCATGCCTTCCGCCTCTCGAGCTGCCTCCCTGGTTCTGTCTCCCCACCCCCACCATTCCATCGTAAGCCTTTTGAATAATTAGAAAACCTAGAGCTCATCTTTTTATGTTTTCACTTTTTATTATTTTATTTATCGTTATTTGAAGTGTTAATTAAAAGACAGTTTTACCGATTAAAATGCCCCCCTGGGGGCTGGAGTAATAGCATAGCAGGTAGGGCGTTTACCTCGCACACGGCCGGCCGGGCTTTGATTCCCAGCATCCCAGATGGTCGTCCCTCGAGCTATGCCAGGAGTGATTCCTGAGTAGGTGAGCCAGGAGTAACCCTGGTGCATCGCTGGGTGTGACCCAAAAATCAAAAAAATAAACTAAAATAAAATGCACCCCAAAGCCCTTTGCCGTGGGAAGTGAACAGCACTGTGCTAGTGTCCATTCTCTAATGCCCATTCTCTAAGTAGATGTGCTGGGTCATGGGTCCTCAAATCTTTCAAGTTATGTTGTCAAATTGATTGCTAGGTCTAGCTGACCCTCTCTAGAAATATATTTAAAAAATTTTTTTAATTGAATCACCATGAGATACACAGTTACAAAGTTGTTCATGCTTGCGTTTCAGTCACCTGTTGTTCCAACACCCATTCCTTCCTCAACGTACATTTCGTGCCACCAGTGTCCCCAGTTTCACTCCTGCCCCTCCTCACCCCGCCAGCCTGCCTCTTTGGCAGATAATTTTCTTCTTTCCCTCTCTTTCTCTCTCTCTCTTTTTTCTTCCCCCTTTTTCCTTTTAGGCTCTGTGGTTTGCAATGCTATTACTGAAAGAGCATCATGCTTATCCCTTTACCTCCTTTCAGCACTCAGTTCTTGTCCAGAGTGATCATTTCCAGCTGTCATAACTGCATTCCCCGCCCCCCACGGTGCTCCCCCTTTTGTGGCAAGCGTCCTACCATGGACGAGTCCTCCTGGCCCTTGTTTCTGTTGTCTTTGGGTACTGTTCTCATAGTGTGTGTTTTTATATCCTGCAAATGAGTGTGATCGTTGTATGCTTGTCCCTCCTCCTCTGTTGCATTTCACTCGGCACGATACTCTGTATGTCCATCCATGTATCAGCAAATTTCTTGACCTTACTTATTCTAATGGCTATGTAGTATTCCATTGTGTAAATGTACCATAGTTTTTTTATCCATTGGTCTGTCCTCGGACAACCTGGTTGTTTCTGGCTTTTATGAATAGCGCTGTGTTGGGTAACATTGCTCTGTCCTTCAAGAAGCTTAGGTTTTATCTGGTTACACCCACCTCAGTGCTCCTGAAGCACTTCCACTTCCATTGTGTTTATCTGTAAACAGTCTTCCCTATGCTCTCCCACCCAGTTAATCAGCTTTCCCCTTAATCAGACTTTGTTAGTTTGTAAGATCAGTTTCCCAGAAATCTATGATTTTATATGTATGAGTGAAATATTGCCTTTCTCCTCTCCTTATGCCTTATGAATAGTTTACCTTAAAGTAATATCCTTTTTGTATAGATACAGAAAGAACGTTAACATTATGCTTTGTAACTCAGGATTTGATTGGCCTTGAATATTATTCACTCCTGGGCATCTTTCTCGACTTAAGCCTCAGTTGCCCATAGTTCCTAACACCCCAAAAGCAGGGTCCCGACGAGGGACTGAATGGACCCAGGGCAAGCGGTGAGCTACCCTGGCAGCAAAATGGGCCAGGCCAAAGTGCCACGATTCTTAACTATAAGTTAAGAGTTTGATCATGGACAAATGCTGTCATGATCCAAGGTAACGACAAGACTAGGATCCTGCTAGGGGTGGGAAAGACTATCTGGCCTGAGCACCGTAGTCTGAGATCGAGATGGCCCTAGGAGAGCAATTCTATAAGTTTAAGATATTTCTTACTGTATCCATACAAAATGATTTATATAATATTTTATATGCTTGTCGGACAAGGAGAGGAGAGGCACGCCCATGGAATTCTGCTCTAGGGTGGGTCCTCCTGCTGAGGAAGGATCGTCCTAGGAGCGGTCTTCCCTGAGGCTAAGATTTCTACCCCTGTTGATCTCCACCCCTATTGATTGTGACCGCACCTATGTGTATTTGTTCCCCCAATTCCTCAGAGAGAGAATTTAACGATACTGTAGGAGGGAGACAAGGGCAGGAGAAGGAAGAAGAGAGTTCAGAGAGGGGCAGAAGGAAGAAGCAGAAGTTCAGAGAGGATCAGAAGGAAGAGGAGGATGAAGGGGGATGGGGAAGGAGAATGAAGTAGCATGGGAGCAGAGACAGGAGAGACGAGGAGAAACAGAGAGAGATGGGAGCAGAGAGAGAGAAGGAGAGACAGAAGGAGAGATGAGGAGAGAATCAGAATAAACTACGACTAATACCTACCAGCCTGGCCCTCGTTCCTTCCTCCGCCTGACCATCGCCATCGACCTCTCCGGGGTGGTAGAAGGGTGAGACTACCGAACGCGGGTGGCGGGAGAGATAGAGCCGCCGCCGTGTGGGTGCCGTGCCCCCCAAGTTGTGTGAGTTTACACAGCGCTGTAATGAGCATAGATGTGCAGATAGCTTTTCTGCATTGTGTTTTTGAGCCCCCAGGGTCTAGTCACAAGAGCAGTATTGCTGGGTTATATGGCAGCTCAGTTTTTAGTTTTTTGAGAAATGTCCATATCATTTTCCAAAAAGGCTAGACCAGTCGGCATTCCCACCAACAGTGACAGAGTCCCTTTCTTCCTGCATCTGCGCCAGCACTGGTGGTTCTTTTTGATGTGTGCCAGACTCTGTGGCCCAGCAGTATTTTGAGTTCCACTTTTCCTACTCTGTATTGAATTTCTATTTCTAAATACTCTCCTTAATCTTTGGAATTATTAAAATTTATGCCAGTTTTATAGTGGACATGGTGTCACTTAATTTCACTTTTATTTATTTATTTATTTTGGTTTGGGGGCCATACTG